AGATATGTTATGTTAGATTTCACGCTAATGTAACACACCTGAGGGATTCTAGTCGGAAAATCTGAGAATGTTGGACACCATTTTGGTGTTCAAGGTTGATAGTCCTCTCATTAAAGGGTTATATAGAAATATGATATAATGTTGTGTGCTGGAATCATCTGACTTATTTTAGGGACTAGTGGCAGGCTCTTGTGAATACCATAATTAACTTCTGCGTCAAGAACTGCTTAATGACTAATAGGTCTTCAAGGAGGATTTTTCTCCATGGAATAACGTATTTGTTGAAGATTTCTGTCTTCTGGGTTGTTGCGCTGTGTAGTCTGGTCGATGTTAACCACCGTTTCAGAGGTCATACTGCCTCCGTCATCAGGGCGTTGGTTAACATCGACCAGACTACACAGCGCAACAACCGAGAAGACAGAAATCTCCATACTCTGATGACGGAGGCAGTATGACCTCTGAAACGGTGGTTAACATCGACCAGACTACACAGCGCAACAACCGAGAAGACAGAAATCTCCATACTCTGATGACGGAGGCAGTATGACCTCTGAAACGGTGGTTAACATCGACCAGACTACACAGCGCAACAACCGAGAAGACAGAAATCTCCATACTCTGATGACGGAGGCAGTATGACCTCTGAAACGGTGGTTAACATCGACCAGACTACACAGCGCAACAACCCAGAAGACGGAAATCTTCATACTCATCGCTGTGAGAACCTCAAGTCTTACAACGTATTTGTTATCCGCCAAAGCAAATTTTTAAATATAAAACAATTATATCCAATCTTTGAACTCCTACTATTTAAATCTTTATTAAGGGCTCATAAAGATAGGCTGTTAGAGAAATGACGCACTGAGAGAATGCATTTAAAGTGGTTTATTGCGGAATGTGGTGTTTGATTCCGCATAACCGGATTTTTGCACCCTATTTAGTGATTTCGTGGTTTAATTGAAGGTTAAATAGATACACTGTGACTGACAGGTGCTATATTACACGGATGAATAGAAGCTATTTGCTGATTGAATGATTTGCAGTAAAAACTAGTGTAGTGAAATGGTATGCAGTTAACACTGGCGACACTTTATTGGATCCAAATAGAGATACACTGTGCAGAGTGGACTGTCATCTTGTTGAGAATTTGCAGTTCATGAGGTGTGTTTGTTGGATTTGCGAAATGCGCTGAAATGTACAGGTACTTTAGTTTCTTCATTGCGTCATTATGCCGTAATTTCATGCTACATGTGCTGTCCACTGTGTCAAATTTCCTATAGACTGGTTTCTGTATAGGTCGTCGAAATAATCCGAAGCTACATTAATGCAATTTCGTCTTCACCCTTTAGCCTGGCGTGACTCTAGAAAAATACCAGAAGCCTCAGTGAGGGCATCCGATAGTCTGGTGTAGATTACGTGTTACCTCTGAGCTATACGTATCCGCTGACATCTGACATTCCTTTGGAAAGCCAGACACTTTTCGTCCTGCAGAAAGTGAGAATTTAGAATATGCCCTCCTGCGCACAAACACACACACAGATAAACAAGCAAATACGTAAATAAACATGATAAAACTGAACTGAAAAGAACTGTATTTTTTTTGGTATGTTTACTGTTTAAATGACGTACCGTCAAAGTAAGTGTACGAGGTGCGATCGGAAAGTTTCCAGACTGCGCCTAATTTTTTTTTAAAAAAAGCGTACACTTATCTCAGGTATTAAATTCATCCATCACCCTCGAAGTAGTTCCCCTGGGAGTGAACACAACGATCCCAGCGCCGCTGCCAAGCCTGGAAGCATCCCTGGAAATCTTTCTTTGTCAGCCTGCCAAGCACCATCTGCGATTCTGTCTGAATCTCTTCTATCGTCTCAAATCTCCTCCCCTTTAGCTGAATTTTCATCTTTGAGAAGAGGAAGTTGATGGTACGACGTCGATCTTCGTAACTTTTTCGGGCGTTGTGCTCGAAGATGGTCGTCCAGAACGCTCGTCATCATCGACAGAGGTTCGGCCGGCCCTTTTTAAAACGTGAATGCCACACAAAAGTTTGCGGACTCCCCAAATGTTTGCTTTAGCATTTCATAGGTTTCCTTAGCCGTTTTGGCGAGTCTTTGGCAAAATTTGATGCACACGCCATTCCGAAATCGCAGGAGGGTCGGTGTAATGCACTACCAAAACGCCCGTAACTAAGAAACAAATGCTAATTCGATGATGCCGGCTGGCACACTGATTCGCTATGAATGTAGGCCGCACCCCCTAGCGGCAGAAGCTCGTACTACATCCGGTTCGCCCTCTATTGACACAGTCTTGAAACTTTCCGATCGCACCTCGTATCCTTCAAAGTGGTGAGGTGCATAAAAACGGTATTTACTTTGTGGGAGTGTCCACGATACTTTGCTGTCATATAATTCTTTGTAACGTGCATCCATACAAAAGCATCATTGTACTGAATCAGAGACCAGAAACTCAAAAGTTTTGGTCACGAGGTGCAACAAAAGCAGGGCGTACAGACAATACGAGCTAGTTCATTGGAACGTGCTCTGTCTTTATCTTTCGGTATCCTGGAGGTCTCCAATCTGCTGTAGATTCTGTTACCCTTGTAACGTAAACAAGAGGATCTAGTTTGGTTGCTTGGACGGCCTGACAGACGGGCCGGCGTTCTGGGATTTCGGCAGGCAGACAAGCTGGGAAATACCGGACGGTAGTATCGACCTCCTATTTGACCCCCGGACTCTCATACTTCCCCGGCCTCGCCTTTATCCCTTGCACGATCACCTTTTTTAATATTATTGGAATGTTTCGTAACATACAGGAATCGAGATGATCTGGAATGTAGATGGCTTTTACTTACCCAAGTTTGTGCCATGAACGTTTTATGGCTTGGAGAAAGAATTCC